CGATATCGATATCGAATCGGGACACCCCTAGTTTTAAGATCAAGTTGATACTAGACATGGGTCTTTACGATGTAAAAACAAGTGTGCATTGCCTTGTATCATGCCATTGCCTGCAGCTTGAACTGTGACCAAGTTGAAATGTGTTTGCTAATCAAGTACCAGCTTGTGCCTGCCGAGTCAGCAGTTGTTTGTAATGAGGGTAATTGTGTGAGAATATGACAATTAGAAAATATGTAGTTTTAATGAAATATTTTGTTTGTGGCTGGAATTGAACCCTGATCTCCCGCATGAAAGCCCATAGTGTTCACCATGAGACTATAAGAGCTGTTGCAGTAGGCACTCCCAGTGTTAAGTTTGTATGTGTGCTGAAAGAGGCCACATTGCCAATGCAATTGTTGACACTAAACTGCAATATATTACAAAAGTAAAGGAATATTAGGACAATATTATTGTGAAATATCAAAACACAATCATGTTTGTATTGTAAACATTGAACTAGTGAGTTTAAATATTATTAAACTATGGTGCAGTAATGAGTAGATACAGCATGGGGCAGTATTGGACCAATACAAGGTTCCATTGACTCACATTATTTGATTTAAACATTAATATTTCCAAAACTATAAGTTGTACAGGTACCAAAAGGCATAGCAATCATTTGGYACAGGGGCTTTACAGATATAAATTACAATGGCAGCTCTAGGACAAAGTATGCAGGAGGAGAAGCGTGCCAAAGTGGAGATGACTTGGATGGGAAACGAATCACAATAGTGTGCATTGCATTGGCAATGCACACTGATAAAGCGTTAAATGGCTTATACATAGACAATGGTGAATGGTTTTTTTTCTTCAACCTTGGTCAAAAATATTTGAAACCAGTTCATTGCAAAAACTAAAATGATGCATTAAAATCATATTGCTGTAGATTAATCAGTCAATATTTTTAAAGGGAAATTTCATTTCAAGTTCAAAAACTTTAACTGATCCAATAAGATAAAAACAGGTTTCTGAATTATTTTTGCCCTGTACTTTGTGGGTAAAACTGGCTTATAAGAATTTATTTAAGTTTGTCAGTGATCGAGGATAGTAACAATATTTCAGCCCTGGTTAATTTCAGTAATAGTATGCAAATTAAAGATAAAACAAAGAAGAGAAAATAAGGTCTATTGAAACACAACAAAAATATGAGAAAAAAAAAAGAAAAATTACAAAAAGAAAAAAAACTTTAACAAAATACACACAAAGTTATATTTTATGAAATATTTTCATTTTTTTATTTAGCTTCATAGTGTTTTGATTCTTAAATTGTGTTTTGCACCTCTGGGTTAGCATATAACAGGAAATGTTCTCAGCAGCCTATTGTTTGAAAATTCTACTAGTAGTATTCTTAAAAATAAATTGGTGAACATTTTAGCACTAATTGGGCTGTTTTATATTATATTATCTACATATATCATGATTTTTTTATATCATACATTAATTTAATAATAAACATTATGCAAACATTCATATAAAATCAAAAGGTAGTTCTGAGAGATAATAATTTGTCATTTCTTTTGCCCAAAATGGTCCTGATTGGCAGAACAACTGTGTGTTTTTAATTTAATCCAGACTGGATATTRGTGGAAAATATTTGCCAACAAAGTAAGAAGATAAACTTTTTTTGTTCTCAGTCAAAAAAGAAAACATTGCCTCACTCTAGAGCATCAAACACAAAGCTGACCTGAAAAACTGCGTCCTGTTGTTCAATAATCCGATTGGATTTTGGAGAATGGGTTGAATAAAATCTTGAAAATGGGTTGGTCAAAACAAAAGATGGAATCTGAAATCGGATTAGATCACATAATCCAGCCCTGGATTTAATCTGGATTAAACATTGTGGCTGTGTTGTTCAAAAGATTTTAGTTTTATTGGAAAATTTTTGATTTAAAAAATGATCATTCTGATCCCAGTGGTTTGGTGAATTCAGGGTGAATTTCAGGAACAAAATAAAGTTTCAACTTATCAATTAAACATTAATCATTTAGTAAGTTTATTAGTAAATTTATTTATTGATTTTAACCCAATTTTCAAACCATTACAGGTGAAATTATAGACTGCTTTATACCAGTGTTTCCCAAAGTTGGGGTCGGGACCCAAAGTGGGGTCCCGAAACATCAAGGTGGGGTCCTGAAAAAAGTTTCTGAATTAATTACATTATAGACTGCTTTATACCAGTGTTTCCCAAAGTTGGGGTCGGGACCCAAAGTGGGGTCCCGAAACATCAAGGTGGGGTCCTGAAAAAAGTTTCTGAATTAATTACATTTTTGCCTTAGTTGTTACAAATGAGTGAAGTTGGTGTATTTAAAATGGATGAATGTAGTATAAAAAATATTTTTACAATGCCCATGTTTTATTGACCTGATACAAATGTTTATAATCCAAAAACAGTTGTGGGCACAGGTCTCTGCTACTGTTTT